TGCCAACTAATTCCCATCTGCTCATAAACTCCCCCAGAACCTCTCTTGCCCTTTGATGCCCTGCTTCCTCCTTTTTTCTCATGTGAAAATTTAAAATACACCTCCAGTGTATGTTTAAAGTAATAAACTTATTTTCAAAAAAGTATATATGAAATTTTTAACATATACCAGGAAGGCGCCAAGTGGCTGGTTGGTAAATATCCTGCTGGTTGTATCGGAGGCTTGGGGTTGGTTCCCGCTTGCACCTGGGTTGAGGGGTTTATGGGCTTGGGGCATGGGCTACCTCCCGTTGTGTAGCCTCATGGAGGAAAAAAAAACTTTAAAAGAACAAACCTTTTGTAGTTGACCAGTCTGTGGGGATAACACTGCAGTATTCCCATTGTAGTTGGTCACAGCTCCATGTGCAAGAAAGGGAGAGAATCTGCCTGCCGCCAGTATCTGCACCAGGCCAGTAAAATTGGGTATAGTAGCCTGTTGATGGATCAAATTGCTACTAAACCTGAGTGGAAAATTGTGGTTGCCAAACAATTCTTAACTTTTAAAAAGATTTGATGGGGGGAAATCTGAACACTAGGTATTTCAATTCGAACCAAAATTGGTGGTAAAAAAAAGAAACAAAAATTATTAAGGGTAAAAACTCAAAAAAAAAAAGGGTGGACCAAGACAGCAATTTGGAATCTTAACTGACAAGGGCCACATAGAGACAGAACTGAAGGCTTATCATAAAGCTTGGAAGTTGAGAGACATCGTATGCCTGAGGTTCAGAGCTTTCAAATGGTGCAAGCTGGTTCCCTGGTTTGGATGGCATGAACCCGTAGCTGTAGGCTGGGGCAGTGGGAGCAACTGAATATTGAGGACCACCAGATGGCAAAGCTATCTCTGGCTTTGACTGGTCGTATTCTGTGACTGCAGTGGACGATACTTTTGCTTCCCCTAAAGATAAATCTTCCAGCATGTGTATAGATGATTGCTGTGGCCAATAGAACACTCCATCATGTAAGACACTGTTTTAAAAGCGCAAGGCGCAGGGGTCAATTTGCGCCTTATGAGGTGTGTGCCTTTTTAAGCAAGGCACAAAAAAAAATGCCAAAAAATTCAAAAAAATGCAAAAAATTATTAAACATAATATTAATAAAAATATAAACTTGAATTTTAAAATTAATGTTTTAAAAAACCTATTATCTAAAATTAAAATACATAAATATAACATGTAAAGCATATTCAAATGAGAATTTAAAAATAAAATCATACATATAAAACCCACAATCTCTTTTTTCCTCAATTGCATTACTTCTAGTAGCTAATGTGATGTAAAACATATTACATTCCTTATTCTACGAGCCGCCTTTGTGCCACACTCGAATTGGAGCTTCGAGAACCCCCTATTTGGTAATGTTGTTCATTCATTCATTCTAATAAAATATCTTGTTAAAAAGTAGTTAAAACTTAAAACTATAAAATCATCATTTTTTTTTGTGAGAACTAAGAATTTAAGACCTAACGTGGCTCCGCCCCCGGCCCAGCTGCTAGACACAAAAAAAGCAAAAAAGCGTCAAATTTTCCAAAGGCGCACCAGGCACACGCCTAGGCGCACTTGGCGTGCACCTTTTGAAAGGGCTGCGCCTAGGACCTGGGTGAGGCGCCTACCCTAAAATGCACCTCGCCTGTGTGCCTAGGCACACCTTTTAAATCACTGGTAAGACATTGAAAATCTGAAATATTTTTGGATAATAAAGACAAACAGGTGACAAGAAATCACCTAGGAAAAAGAAAAAAAATACCAGTAACAGCCTACACACCCAAAAACAAAGTCCAACAATCCCTTGATGAATCCAACCCCAAACTCAAGCTTCTTGAGCTGCAACAGAATACAAGAGGAGCCTCAACCTACACCCAAAATTAACACCCAATAAATGATTCCAAAATCCACAAACCCAAACTTCCATTTTTTTGCAGTCTTAGGCTGCATTTGGCATTCCTAATTTTAAGGACTTATCTCCTTTATTCTATCAAAATGCCCCTATGAACGTTGAGTTAATTTCCTTAAAATAAGGAATGCCAAATGCAGCCTTAGTCTAGATGGATAGCTAATTTCCTTGTCCATCTAATGACTCTAAAATCAAGCCAAATGGCATGAGTAAATACATAGGTAGCCTTAAATGTCATTATTAAAAGTGATTTTATATTAGGTTATATACTCAGGGGTCCTTTGATGTTGATTTTATACTAAAATTCTATATGCTGTGCTGTATATATTTGTTCTTTCAATTTCTCAGCATGCCTTTCTTCAATCACTTAGGCAACATAGAATTGGTTTCTATCTCTAGTCTTTTATTTTTTGAGGTTATAACTTATAGGTTGATTTCTGTAATGCTGGATGATTCTAATAGATAGTTTTTAAACATGCTGCCATAAGTTCCCCAGGGAGTAATAAGTGAGTAAGATAAAGTTGGAAATTCCTTCAAGTATTTTAGAAAATGATTATAGGATTCCCCAAAGCCTTCCTTTTATCACCTATTTTTGAGGAACCAAATTGAATCATTAGGAAACAGATTAGCCTTTCTTTGTCAAACTATGTTATTTCCAAAGTGAAGATTGTCTTAACATTCTACGATTTTTTTATTGGTAATTGTTCATTTTACCATTAATAGATACTCTCATGGTTAGGAGGCTTTTGTTCTTTGTCATGCTAAGATCCGCTTTACAAGATTATGGCCCTCAAGGTGTTTAGTTTTCAACTTCATAGAAGAAAAAGAAAACTAGTGGAAATGGGAGAAGTAAGACATATCTGCAATTTTTATCTAAATAAAAATATAAGAGCAGGGATTCAATATAAAGGGTAACAGCCTGCTTTACTTTTAGTTGGGTGCATTTGTAATTTTTTTTTTCACACAGAACAACACCAAATTTAAAGTATATGCAAGGTGAAAATTTTGCCTCACCTTGGAGCTTAGAAGAATGGCTAGGTAGGTGCAGTAAAGCTGAATCAAACATGCAATTGGGGCATTTACTCCAAGTATATGTAAAACAAATGGCCCAAAGCAGATCCTGCAATAAAAAAAACCACCCCAACTGCCAAATACCTCAGAACACATAAAGAAAGATGAAAGGGAGAAAAAAGCCCAACTGCCACTACTCCGTGGCAGTACTCTGGCAGGAATTTTGGGAAGGAACTTCTAATTAAAAAAAGCCTGTTCTCTGCATTCTGCCCTTGGATATAAAAAAATATTTACATATTATCAAGTTTTATCATTTATGTATCAATAATAACTTTCAAAATAAGCTGTTACTAGGTAGAGTCCAGTGCATATAGGGTGGGAGCTGCTTTCTTTCTCGATCAATTACATAGAGGTCTCAGAAGGTGTCTGAGACTCGTGAATTTTATCCTCTCCTTTCTGTACATGACGGTAGGCTACGGAGTAGTGGCTTCATGGTTAAGTGGAGGCAGGGTGAGGGAGAGTGGAGGGGGGGAGGTTGTTGAAGAGAGTGAACGAAAGAGTGTGGTAGGGAGGGATGGGTTGTAAGAGAAAAAGAAATAGAGCAAGGGAGAGAGATGGAATGAGAAATAAAGGAGCAAGAGGTGGGGATTTGAGAGAGGAGAGAGGGTTCAGGTGACAAGTTTACTTGTAGGAAAGAGAAGAGGAAGGGAAATGGTAGGATTTGAGAAATTTTATAAAAAAAAAAAAAGTAGGATTTGAGAATTTTACAGAGAAAGAAGATGCTTCAGTTGCAGCAAAGAGAAAGTAGAAGGGAAGGGAAGAAAAGTTGAAAATAGAAAAGCTGAAAACAGCAAAAGGGCGGGTGAGAAAAGTCAAAAAAACACATTGCGCACGTGTATGTTTTCCTTTTTGGATTTTTTTTTTTGTTTGTTTTGTTTTTTGTTTTTGTTTTTTTTTTTTTTTGTTTTTTGACCTCTAATAGTTCTAAATGAAATACTTGATTTACTGACTGTTTAACAATAAATACTTTTTTTTTGGGTTTTTTCAGTGATGGTCCTACAATGTAGAGTGACGTTAATTTATAACCATCGCTAGTAATGTTGTAATTAGTGACTTTCACAACGAAATGTTACTTATAATGTAGATATAGTGATGCTCCTCAAAGACTGTCACTATATCATTGATTTTTTGTGATGTTCTTTTGTTTGTTGCACCTCTATTGGTTTTCAGGTTATTTCTAACTGCTCAGCTGTTCTCCAGTTGGTCCATTCTCACTTCTCTGATCAGTAATCTCTGGTTAGGATGAAGTCTATTTTTATTTGCTGAAAACACTAGGATGAATGTTTGTTATGGTCTGTTTATATCATGAATATATTGTGCACATTAGTTTGGTACCCCTTTTGCACATTTTGAAGTTCAGTCCGCATTTGTCTGGTTTTTGTGCTTTGTTTATAGTTGGTCAATTTCTGTTTTAGATAGTGATACACTATTTTTACTTTGTTGGTTTATAACAGCATACTTCACTCTTGTCATGACAAAACAGTTTTGCATTGCCTTCATTTTTCTACTCAATATCCAGATTCTCCTATTCCAATTTTGGTGTTTTTTGCTTCGAAAAAACTTTAATTACTTAAAAGATGTTGGATACAGTTTGGTGGGGTCAGAACCCATTCATCCTCAAGTTCTGGCCTGTAACACCATGCAGCCAATATATGAGCTAATACATTAAACTGTCTCCTAATATGCAAAGAAAGAAACAGAGTGTATGCAAGAAGCTAATTCCTTCACATCTAAGAGCAGATGTCTCCATTGCCATGGAGCAGTTGAGTCTTTTGCCTTTGTGGCTTTGTATGATTGATGACAGAGTGTATTCCAATTTTGGTGCTACTCTCTTTCTTTGTCAGTTTTAGTTTGGTAACCACTGGCCACTGGGTGATCACATCAACTGGATTCTCACATAAATATGTTGCGTACACGTGTGCTTTACATGTAGTAGTTATTTGTGCATAAACTAGTGAAGACTCACCAATAATTTTATAGGAATTCTTACTATATCCTCAGGTTCAGAAAGATGAATCATTGAAAGATGCTGAAGCTGAACTAGTGTCCATCGAACCTCAATGTGTAATGCAAGTTGGAATAGGTGACGATTTTTCACCTCTTGTTGTTTCCTTTGTACAGCATCTAACCGCACCTTGGGGATATCTCCCGTACATGTATGTTAGATTCATGGGGAGATGTTCCCAATGTGTGACTGGATGCCCTGTTGTCATTGTTTGTGTGGATTACAAGTTGGTAAAATGGAACATTCGATGAAACCCAGTGATGTCAAACACGGAGTGAATATGCAAAGGTCTGCCAATGAAATCACTTTATCATGCATTCATGCTGAAATCAAATGGGTCACCATCCTCATAATTTATCCTTATAGATGGTATCTCAGGTTTCCTTCTTTTCAATTTATGTAGTTATTTTCCTTGATGAGTAGCTCTCTCTTGCTCTTTCTGGAACCCGTCTCTTGCAGAAGAAGGCTCTCAAGAGCTGGATGGTCAAAAGTTATTGATCGAAACAACCTTGCCTTCCATGGCTCTTTCGGAATGCACACCATCACCTGTGGTTGGTGTCCCACAACAGAGGCGAAGACCCTATTATGGGTGGATCACTAGTGATGATGAGGAGGAAATTGTTTACCTCCAAACAATGGATGATGCATTGAGGCGCCCAGGAGTCGATGTTGGACGGGCTTCTAACAGAACTCGCAAGAGGCGGTGGGATGTGAAGCCAGAAGACATGTAAATTTAGAACATTTGGCTTTGTAGATAACTCATGGTATAAGTGTGTAATTACATTAGAACATTTAGCTTTGTACATATCTTACATACTTACATGTACATTCCTGTATTGGAAATTGAAATACATGCTGGTACTGGCATCAAAAGCCAGTGAGTGGTCTTATACATACAAATAACCGATTAGGGAAATAGGATATGCTTTGTATATGTATGGATACAGACAAAAAATCAAGATGTGCATAAATATGGTAAAAAATTTAAATAAATCTTAAAAATATATTACTAACTATATTTATATATTTTATATGATTGTAAATAAGTCATTTAAATGTGAAAAATCATAATTTAATGGTTTATATAAAGTTACATATTGGGACACAATTAGTAATCGATGAAAAATGATGAAATAATTAAAATGTAAAAAAACAAAAAATAAAAAATAAAATGTGAATGTCAATTTTCAAAAACCAATATAATTAATATTAATATTTATTAGTATATAAATTTTAATAATTAATTTTAGCATTTATTAATAAAAACTTGTCACTCATTAAGAAAAGTGAGTTTATTTAAAATTAAAAATGCATATAATCATAGCAAACATATATGTGTGGCTCATTGGCGAACTTGTGGTTGTTAAAATCAATTGAGCAAAGTTCAAATCTTGTTATAATTAAAATTTGAAAATTTTACACCAAGAAAACAAAATTAATGATAGGGGATCATTAATTATAGGAATTAATGAGAGAAATTGAAGTAAACGCTAAAATTCAAATTTAAATTTAAATTTGCCTTGGAGTAATTGGCTAATTAATGAAAGAGAAATTAGACTTAAATAAATGACATTAATGAGAGATTCAGTATTAAATATGGATTAACGATATGGATCTGAACTGCATTAGACTGTTTTTGGCTCGTATCGGCCGATACGTACGAAAAGAAACAGAACGAATGATTTATACACGTTTCGCGGGTTCTTGTTGGAATGATACGTATCGTTCGATACGGATCGATATGTTGCGATATTTTGAACCTTCATGCAGGTTTGACAAAATTTTCGATTAAAAAATGGACTTTTTGCAACAAAATTGACCAAGTTTGATCAATTGACAATGTCTTAAAAATAATAGAAAATTGAGGGAATGGGAGGAAACATAAAGTTTTTAGGACAAAATTACCATTTTGTTAAAAATAGAATCCATTGAATCCAAAGAGCATTCATATTTTGTTCGTTCGACTCCATCCATTCAAATTGCAGTTGGTTGGAAGCATCTCCAAGTTCGAGTTTGACTCCATTCATTCAAATTGCGCTTGGCTGGAAGCAATGACTCCATCCATTCAAACGACTTCAGATTGGGAAGTATCGACTTCATTTGGCTGGGAAGCATCAACTCTATCGATTCAAACTGTGGTTGGCTACGAAGGCTCCATCTTCAAAGCAATATTCCTCGTAGTTCGAGTTCAAGTGATTTGGGGTCCTATTCTTCATCCAAGTGTGAGTTCAAGCGATTTGGGATCCCATTCTCCATCCAAGTTTGAGTTTGAGTGATTTGGGGTCTCATTCTCCAAGTTCGAGTGATTTGGAGTCCCATTCTCCAAGTTCGAGTTTGAAATTACTGCTTGATTGTTTATTTTCTCGAAAACTTTAGAATTATTAGGAAGATTTTACAAATTTTATTTTTTGTTTGTTGTTTCTTTGTATTTGCATTTCATTGTTTAAGTAATTGATGTAATTCTTTGGTCAAATTTTGATTATGTATTCTTTTGTTTAAAAAAATGAAAGAAACCCCTTCTTATAAAAATGTAAGTAAATGATGATTTAGTTGAGTATTTGCAAAATGTAAGTAAAAGAAATAAGACTTAGAAGTCAATAGAAAGTTGGAAATGAATGGTTGCCAGAATTATATAAATGGCAACCATATGGTGATTTGAATGCTGAAGAAGCTACAATTTCTTTTGACCAAAATGTCAATATATAATAGCTCATAAAATGAGTTAATATACATAGGGCTCTAGAACCTGAATTATATAACTAACAACCATAAAATGATTTGAATGTTGAAGAAGTCATTGTAAAGGCACTAGATGCTGAGATTTATGGTTGTGCACAAATATAGCTTGTGTGCTTTAACATCGTGGAGTGGCACTTGCCCAATAGATACATGATGCAATTTGGGTTTCTAAGTCTATAAATATGAGAATCATACAAAACCAAGAGGTTCATTGAGTTCTAAATGGTTTTGATGGTGTAATTACCTACAGGGGGATAGATGTTCAAAACTGTAATTTATGTATCAAAATTGCAAACAATTATCCGGTCTGTTTACTGCCAGATGGTTTTTAAGTCTGTAAACATATAAGAATCATACAAAACAAAGGGGTTTTGTGGGTCCTAAATGATTTTAATGGTGTAACTATGATGCGGAGGGATAGATGTTTGCAACTATAATTTATGTTTCAAAAAGTATAAAAGTATTCAAAAAAATTATGTTTCAAAGTTGCAAATAATAATTTGGTCTTTGTAATGCTGGATGGTATCCAACTTTGTAAAAAACTATTTGATCTATGTAATGCCAGATGGTTTCCAACTCTGTAATAAACCATCTATCTGGTCTTCTCCATGCCGGATGGTTTATACATTTGTGAGAATCATATACTACCTTATGGAATGTTGGGCTTTAGATGATTTTGATGGTGTAAATACTATTTTATCACACGAGGGGCTGAAATTATAATTGCAATTGAAGTTTCAAAATTGGAATAAACCATCTAATCTGTGTAATGCCAGATGGTTTCCAATTCTATAAAACACTATCCGGTCTCTATAATGTCGGATGGTTTCCAATTCTATAAAACACTATCCGGTCTATGTGATGTCGGATGGTTTCCAACTTTGCAATAAACCATCTGGTCTGTGTAATGTCAGATGGTTTACAACACTATAATAAACCATCTGGTCTTCCCCATGCCGGATGGTGCCTAAATCTGTTAAAAACCACCTAGGTTGCTCCATACCAGATAGTCTAGGCACAAAATATGTTCTTGTTGTTGATCGCATAAGTAGATATGTAGTTTGGGTATTAGTCACAGAGATAAGCATTATGAGGTTTTTTCAATTGTCCTGCTGTTTTAGCCAATCTAGCATTACCATTCACCACCTTCTTGTAGTACACTTGCTTTGAAGATGGAGTTGATGCTTTCCAACCAGCCGTAGTTTGAATCAATGGAGTTGATGCTTCCTAGCCAAATGGAGTCGACGCTTCCCAATCTAAAGTCGTTTGAATGGATGGAGTTGATGCTTCCCAGCTAGCCGCAGTTTGAATCGATCAAGTTCATGCTTCCCAATCTAAAGTCGTTTGAATGCTTGGAGTCGATGCCTCCAACTAGCCATAGTTTGAATGGATGATTAAAGTTTTCTCCCACTCACTTTATTTGCTATTGTTTCTAAAACATAACTAAAATTGTCAATTGACCAAACATGGTCATTTTTTTTTTTGCAAAAAGTCCTAAAAAAATTAAAGTTTCATATGGCACAAATTTGATATATGTTAAACCTAAGCACCTACTGAATTCGCTAGTGATCACAACCAACATTCAAAATATCACAATGTATCAGGCCATATCAGTCGATACGTATCGTTCCGACAAGAACCCGATACACAAAATGTGTATAAATCCTTTGTTCCATTTCTTTTCATACATATCGGCCGATATAGGCCCGATAAACATCCAAAACAACTCGATACAGTTCGGTACATTTGATTTCGGTTCATCATTAATTTATTAATCAATATTTTATACCAAATCTCTCATTAATGTCATTAGTCCTAAATTTAAGTCTAACTTCTCTTTCATTCATTAGTCAATTATTCCAAAGTAAATTTAAATTTAAATTTAAATTTTAGCGCTTAATTCAAATTCCCTCATTAATTTTTTTTAATTAATAATCCCCTTTCATTAATTTTGTTTTGTTAGTGTAAAAACTTCAAATTTTAGCTATATAACAAGATTTGAAACCTTAGTCACTTGATTTTAACAACCACAAGTTGGTCAATGAACCTCACATATTTGTTTGCTATGATCATATGTATTTTTAATTTTAATTAAATTTTCACTTTTCTTAATGTGTGACAAATGTTTATTAATAAATGCTAGAATTAATTATTAAAATTTATATACTAATAAATATTAAGATTAATTATATTAGTTTTTGAAAATTGACATTAATAATTTAGTTTTTGATTTTTTTTACATTTTAGTTATTCCATCATTTTTCAATAGTTACTAATTGTGTCCCGATATGTCACACTTTATATAAACCATTAAATTCTGTTTTTTTTTTTTACATTTAAGCGACTTATTTTACAATCATATAAAATTTGTAAATATTGTTAGTAATATATGTTTTAGGATTTATTTGAATTTTCTATTATATATATACATATCTTAATTTTTATCCGTATCCATACGTATCGAAAATGTATCCCGATACATTTCTTAAATTTTTTTTTTCGCTACAGATAATGTTTCCGATACCTTGATCCTTCATCACAGTCATAGGTTCCTATTTTGACGAGACTCTCACTCTCGTTGTCAATGCTTGAATGATCTTAGGCAATGCAATTCAATCCAGGCATTGGCACTTTTAGACACAACTACATTATGACTGCGTTTGTTTTTGGTGTAAACTCATAGATGTATAAGAGAGTTCTCCACCGATAGATTTAAAATGAGTGAATCATTGGAATTTTTTAAAGTGTGATAATTGATGTAAAACTCAACTGGGGTTATATCGATTTTTTATTATAACTTACACAAAAATAAATGCATTAAAAAAACAGACCAATAATAGAGTTTTATACGGTCCGTAATTACGTTTAAAACAAACGCAGCCTAATGAAATATGACCAAGCGAACAAAGTAATTAATTGGATTTTGCAATTGTTAATACTTGGGAACATGGTTTTAAAACCGACCAAGAGACCAAATCGGTCAGGGGTCCGGTTATTGGGTTGAATGGTCTGATTGTTTGAACCGAATGGCCGTCCCATTATGACAAAAAAAATTAAAAAAAAAG